GAGCGGATCCGACGTTTCTCTAAGCGCCAAATCCATACCAAGAGTTTTCTATCAGGATCGACAATGGGCAGTGCTTCACGTGAGACGTAGGTCTCAGTGTGGCCCGGGTGCGTTTTTCGCTTTGACCTGAGCATGAACTCTGTGCCTCACTGACATGACGATGCCCGCGAACTCATCTCTGCTGCACGTCAACGCTTTGATGTTATGACATATTCGTGCCTCCAACGTCGCTTCTTTGTCTTGTAATCGGTAGGCGCCAGTCTCGACAGAGGAGGTGAGGCGGGAAAAAGTCAGCTGTTCTCTCGGCATGTCGGACGAATAGCTTCTAGTCGTCGCCCGATGATGAGATCGAATGTTAGTGACTTCAAGCTACGACCGATATGTATGACCGGTGTGCCGTAAACGCCCAGAACCCGATGTCTTGTGTGATAACTTCAGTAAGCTCATATGCGAGGAAACCGTTCTTTTCCATATGTCCGAGCCAACCGGTGAAATTCAAGAAGCCTTCCAGAGTACAAGACCACTAAGCATTCAACGGCTGAGTGAAGATAGCAGGCCCTTGGGCCTATCCCCGGCCCCTGGGCAGTTTAAACTTTCGAGGGGACCAGTGGTGCGGGCGTCTTGCAAATCCTCTTGACCGCAAAGAGGACTCGATGAAGGCCCTACTCCACACCGGTGAACCTGCGTCCAGGGGTTTGTGGCCCGCTAAAGATTGTCACGAGCGTGGCCCTGTCGGGGACGCAGGTTGTGAGATTGACCGCTGGACGAGTCAGGCGAGGGAAGGCCCTTGTCCTGACCCTCTGAAGAACTTGACATCCCAGGCAGAGGTTTCTAGCTCGCTTCTAGCGCGTGGGAGGAGCGGGTTGAAGAACCAAAGACACGAAAGACCTGGTTACCCTACGTTACTGATGTGTAAGGGTAGCAAAATCCTGTCCTTAATCATAATCAAACCCATCCTGTGATGCAGATATCCTGCCGGCATCACACTACTGCACAATAGACAGGGCGGGATAGTCCAAAATAGCCGACGCTGCTATCAAAGTATCGAACCAAACTTTTTGATGATTTTGAAACATGCTCCCACTGGCACGCAGGGAGGCATTTTCGCCCTCATACCGCGCTCTGCGATGGCCTCATCGGTGGCCTCCTCCTTTCCTTTTCGATAGCTCGGTGCTGATCCAGCGGTCAACTCCGGGGTGGGACTCGAAGCAGCCGATCATTCGTTCTGCTCACTTTGAGCGGCCGGAGGGCGTAACCGTACAGATACACCATCATGCTACTATTTTCAAATGGGTTGCGTGTGTGACAGTGTGTCCATTCTCTCTGCCTATGGTGCCCTGCCTGAGCGTGGATTTCGCTTGATGAGTAGCGCCGTGGATCACGACCGGCGGTTCCGTCCCTCTGGTGCAGAGTTTTCTCTCTCCTCCTCTCTCAGCTGGCAGCTGGCGATGGCGTCCGTCATCTGGGTCAAGACTCGGAAGTGAGCAGGGAATCAGCGCCATTCGTCATTTCGTCCCTAAAGAATACCCATTCAATCCCCCCCTCGTAGAAACTCCACGTCAGGGTCAAATCTCGCCTGCCGCCCCGGCAGCTATATCCAGGGCAGCAAAAAGTCCCAGCAGCCTGGCTCGGCTGGCATATGTGGCTGACGCCAGTACCGTTCTATCCCAGTGCTCCGAGCCGCTAGGCCAATCAACGCGTGATCCGCTGGGCTGTCTCGGGGGTTCCCAATGGCATGGTTCCGGAATCTGATTCGTAAAAGAATTGCAGGCTCTATTTCCGATATGGGTTCTTTTTGGCCCTGGGGGTGGAATGGGAGCGGGCTCTCATCAAACACCATAGCCGGGCTCCATTCCTGTCCGGTCGCTGTACTCCGTAACGTGGAATGATCGGGGTGCGACGTTGGCTTCATCTTGTTCTTTTGCTGAGGGGGCAAAGAGGTCGAGCGAGAATGGGGCGGTGACTGCAATGGAGATTTGACGTGGCCGATCGCGATGTGGATGTGCGTCAACACATCAGTCACTCCTTGACCCGCTGGCCTCGAGATGTGCAGTGCTGTCCGATGGAACATATGCCACGGATGGCTGAGGTATGCGGGAGATGCAGTCCAAACTCCACGCGCGCTAGAAACAAGTTTTCTTTCCCCTGGTCAGCCTCCTCGCGTCGCTACGCCAGCTAGGCTAGATCGTTAGAATCTATGTTCTTTTCAAGGAGCTGGCCCGGGAGTTTCGACCGTTCCTCGTTCGGGCCTATCCCGACGTCCTCCGTTTAGAAGACCGTGTGTTCGGAAGCAAATAAGCAGCGAGTTTGCGACTGTACAGAGTACGGATGCTCGTACATCGTCCCACCGCGCTGTGTGATAGAAAAGACGGCTTTGTGACTCGACCGAATTGCCGTCAACCGAGTCATTGCACAGCAAGCCCAGCCGGGAAAAAAGAAACCGTGTATGCGGGTTGATTACTTTCCCATCTCTCGCTTTCGCGCCGGCACGCTGGTTCGCCTGAACGGTTCGTCCCACCGCCCGTTGCCGTCCGCATCTGTCTGGTCTGCCACTGTGGGGAGAGCTATCTAGAAAGAGAAGAGTGTGTGTGACTCTATGATCATTAATGACACCGCCCGGCGGGAATATTGCCCCAGATGTGCCATTCTGCCGGCAGGATACATCATTCACACACCCTTGAACAGGCCGCTGAAACGCTGTCCTCGTACCGAACCTGCGAGAGAGGCGGACCTCTCCGATGTGTGCCTCGCCGCTGTCTCCGTTGATTGGTGACTTTGGTTATGCACGAATATACGTCGGGATCATATGGACCGACGCATCAAAGCTGATTGGTTTTGACCGGGTGCATTGCACCGAGATCGTCGTTTCGATCCTGTCGGTACCCAGGCGATGCAGATTGCAGCTTGCTGAAGAATGACAAGGGCTTAAGGGGTGGGTAAGGTAGGAGTACGAATCCTACCGTCCTCTGGCCTAGACTTTGAGGCCTCGACCGGTGATGCAGCAACGAGACCTCGCAAGACCTCTAACATGCCATAATATACCACTATCGGGCTCCGAGTATTGTCGAGGGTGTGCTTAAGGTCGCCCCAAAGACTAAGGGAAATATATTCCTGTTCTAGATCGTTGAGGGATGCAGCCGCCCCGGCACGGCACAACTTCTCGGGTATCTCTACGTCTCCTCGACCAAGTTCTTGTGATTGAAGCATTCGCGCACCACCCCGTTTGTGATCCACGGCAGTCGAACGGCACTCATTGTCTTCTCGCCAGGTTTCTCCACCGTATCCCTCGGCTGAAGGATCGACCCACGCTGCCTTACGTTCGGGTCGCAGCTCCATTCAAGGCAGATACAGCAATGATAGGCGGTATCTACACCACACTAGAGCAAGTCTACAACATGCGGGCAACACGCCTCCGCTTGCTAAGACTTTGGTGTAGCTCAAAGTCCCTGAAGATCTCTCAGCTCCACAGCCAGATAGATGGGGGCCCGAAGCTTGAAAATGGAGTAGTGATGCCCAACGTCTTTGGGCTGAGGAGACGCGAATCAGAAAGCTGGGGACGGCGAGATTGAAAGACCCATCTTTGAGGCGAATTCCCTATGTCTGATTGCAAGAGCAAGACGGGGTTTCCGGAATCATGGGCATAAGATGGAATTCTCCTATTCTGTGGAGGCTATGCTGTTTGACATGTTCCATCTTTGTCTGAAGATCGGGTCCAGGGTTGGGTAGCTCTCACAGCCTAAGCTCTTAAATCTGCATGCGATATAAGTTGGACTTTGTAATAATCTTTGTGCATATGCCGTATCTTGCATTCGACCTCATTCCAGATGAAGCGAAAAGGTTGAGTTCGGTCCCTCATCGACCTGACAGGTGACTGTTGGAGAGGTTGGGCTGCGATGTCTCCGGGCCGATGCCTAGGCCGCCGTTTTCCGATTCGTCGCGACTCGTGTAAAGTCTTGTCCGATTAAGAGATGATGACTCCGTACAGACAGATCGATACATCTGAGAAGTTAGCTGGCTTTACTCGGTCTCGTGTGTATTGTGTCACCTGGATCGTGAGTTTGGGTTTTGCAAAAAGGGGCTCCCGGTGCGCTCGCCGAACCGGCGAGGACGCCGACATGAACCAAACGAGATGACAATCACAAGACCTGTCCCAACTGAACAAGGAACCTAAAGTCCGGGATGCCTAATTTGTTAATACGATGGTGTGCGATAGAATCAACCATTGCAACCCTCCCGCCGGAAGCAAATATCGGCAGTATTCTCAGCCTCATTTATCGGCCTCAACTCCGGCGGCCCCGTTCATCCTGGCTTCGATGTTCTCATCCCGGACGATTCAGTGCATGCCGATAAAGAGTTTGGTGTCACGACACACCATATTCAGTAACCGTTGTCTCTAGACTCAGGAGGAGGTCTATTTGAATACTGACCGTTGGAAACCAGCTCCCAAGACTCGTCAGAATGCATGCAGCCCTCGGCCGCGGATTTCAAGGTCATGAGATTCAGGGCGAGGCCTGTCGTGTCCTCAACCAGATAGAGAGCACTTCCCTCTTCGCATCCAGTCCCATGTCGAGCTTTCCTAAGCGTCTCGTTTAGCAACTGTTCGCTTGAATAAGCCCATTGTGAAGCCCCGCAAAGAAAGACGTGCAGAAACTCAATACCAGAGACAGCGCTAGAGATGAAGACGTTGGACAGTCAGACGCGGGTCTTGACGAAATGGTTTCTTTTTGGTTTAGACCTCAAGACTGCCCAACATCGACCGAACCCTTCTGTCTAGCTCCCGTTGGCAGATCTTCTGAGCCGGTTGAATCTTATTTCCGCAGCCGCCAAACAAAGGAGGCCGGACACGGGAGGGCATCAGTCGACCGTGATTTTGTCTTCCCCCTCATCCAAACTGAGTCATCTTGACTAGAGCGACGAAACTTTTCGACGCCGAAGTCCATCCCGAGTATGCCCACACATTCGGCGTCAATACTCATGTAAAGCTGGGCGATCCGTTACGGATGCTATCAAGCCATTTCATCCAATCTGGATATTCGTTCATTGGACGAAGTCTTCTTGGGCGTCCCTCGTTGGCTAGGGACTCTTACAGCGATAGTGCATACAAACGCCTTTCACGAGAACTTGCTCTTGACATGATGAGGACAATGTGCCCAATAACCCCGAGACTGGGAGTCACATGCTGCCGGATGATGACCTTAAATAGCAGGGGAAACTGATGCTGTTCGATGAGTAGGTGCAAGCCGAAGCCAAGGTCCGCGGCTAGGGCCAGGGCAAACAGTGCGTATCATAGTGATGGACCTTTGAACGAGACACTGGTGGAAATAAGTCATGGCTTGAGGAGATTAAGCGTGATACTAATCTTTCTTTCTCCCAGATCAGCAATGTGCTAGACAATAAGCATCACCGCAGTCTGCTAGCTTATGTCGAAAAGACTCACATCGGCCTACCTAGCTGGCAAGTGCTTCGCAGTTCTTCCTGTAGGGCTTTTTCATGCACGCAATTGGCAAAACCTGTTCTTCATCTTGTTTACACGGACGCCTCGAGGTTCTAGGCGGGCTATTAAGCCCTCGTAACTAAACTCGGCAATACGTTATTGTTCCAGCTGGAAGAACTTTACTTTCCTGATAAAACCCCTCCCGAATTTAGATTACTTACATGGAGAGTTCAATCAGATTATCTTGGCCCGTGAATATGAGGCTCTCAAGACTCGATAATTGCCACCATGCTACAGCCCTATCGTTCCTCGTCATTTACCCAGCATCACACATTCTCTGCCGAAACCCGCCCAACACATCTGGACCATGCCAAACCGTCAGCATCTGATTTATCTGTTCCATATCATAATCGATTTTCACCGACTTCGATCCACTGCAGGAGACCAAAGGGCGTAATTGACGAGCGTAAAGATCTGGCTTAGGTACGTAGTGCTGCCGATCCTTGACATGTAGACAGTAATCTAAGATATGGTTCGACTATGGCCCGTGAACAGAACATGTAAGACCCTCGTAGGGCGCGGTGAGTTAGTCTCTGGTTTTGGCTTTATCTACAGAGCTAGGAAGAAACCGCGAGAAATTGTCTCGATCATCACGTAGTTCGTTCTTCCCAAGATCGGGTTCTGGTTTTTTGAGCCATAGCCAACGAAGCTTTGGCATGGCCTCATCTACCAGACACGGCCATAACATGAGCAGCATGTTCCTCACTTAGAGTTCAGACAGCTTTGTAGACATATACATGGCTCCGTTGACAGGGTTGTGGTAGTAAGGAGATGTTTCTTTGAATCCCTCCGATGCATACAGTCTAACTGCAGCTTGCATCTTGGCTAGGGTGTCGAGCAGAACCTCGTCGTAACCTTGATCCTCCGCGCGCCGCAGTACCTCACAGACCAAAAGTCTGGCCACTTGCTTGCCTCTCGCCTCTGGGTAAACGAACAGTCGTTTGATTTCGCAGTATCGAGCGTCAGGTCGGCGGTTCAGGAGATAACGTGACTCGAGATGCAGAGGTCGCATCGCAATGCACCCAAGGATGTTTCTGCTTGCCGAGTCTACGGCAAGAAGTAGTGCGCCGGATGGAGGTGAGTATTTTCCAGGTAGATCTTTGAGCTCTTCGCCATAATTTTGAAAAGAGATCTCTTCGTCCAGCCATTCCGTGTACGCTTCAAAGCATTTCCTGGCGGCAGTCATATCAGCTGCGCCTGTCACTTGTCGAACAATAACCGGCGTCGGTACATCTTGTATGGCAGGATTCCGCATTATGGCTGGAGGATCTGGCATCTTTTTGTAGTGAAAGGCACACAGTGTTGACTGATGATAGGTGTTGACCTTAGCATCAAGGATTCAAAGGGTTTGGCGACCCTTTTGTCCTGTCATAGCAGGCTTATCTTAACGATTGCTATTGCGCAAAGACGACCAAACGGTAGTGGGCCGGAGCATATGCATTGCCGATGTGAACCGCTAGAATAATCTAGACAGAGCGACATCATGATGGAAAGTTTTCCACTTCCGAATGAACCCTGGAAATTCTATTAAACGAATTTACATTTTCCTAAATGCTTGAGGGCTAATCCTTCTTGTGTTTCTGTATGGATAACGCGCCTATCAGGCAGCAAAGTCTGGTGAATGGGTAAGTAGACTTGACAACTACCTTATGTGATAATCTGATCAGATTTGAATCACTTGACATATCATTTAGGTCCAAATATTAAAAGGTTGCAATTCTAGATGTGGTGCCTTCTTCATGATACCTTTATCACTGTAAGACCTTGCTCGAACCGTTAATGTTCTTAGAAGGGTCCTACCTACCCCTCTCGGCTTCAACACAACCGAAAGGTCGGCTCTGCTGACGTGTGTACTAACAGCACTGTCCCGCAAGACCAAGTTCAAAATTCAACTCAGTAGTTGAAGAGAGCGGTAATATGTAATTTGATTTCCGAGGTGGTCTGAGGCCGCTTCGCTCTACGGCCTAGCCAGTACCACAGCCGGTTCGATATGTGGAACAAACAATTTGGCCTCAAAATAGACCCAGGGAGGACGGCAAAGGCCACAATTCAAGTATTAGGTACATCAATATTATTAATGAGATCTTCATGAGCTCGGCCGAAACGTTCGGACGTCGGTAGAATGAATGTGATGGAGATGTAAAGACGGAGCCCAGAGCCACCCGGTCGGCTGTGAGACAGTACCGAGATCTACGTTATGTTGTTAATAGCGCCCGCGTCTCGGGCCCGGCCGAGCTGGGAGTAAAACAATCTCCACTTAGTATTGCACCTAATCTAGGATGACTTTGGCCTTAAGCCTTCCAAGACGGCGGAGAGATCACTCAAAACCTTCATAGACTTAATGCTACCTCACATTAGGCTTCTAAAAATACTTCAAAAACAAACAAGAAGCAAACAACTCGTGAAAGAAAGAGGCGTCTTCCGTGAGCCTTCTACGTCAGTTGATGCCGTTGAGGGTGCTGGTGAACATCCGTCCCGTACGGAGCGGAGGATCCATTGACCTCCGGAAGGCCGACGGACCTTTCGCTTGCGGTGCCGGCGTCCCGGATGACACACAAACTTGCTGCAACCCGCTCCGCACGGCTTACGCAGTCCGGTTAGTGTCTCTCAAGCTAGCCAGTCAAGCCAGTACCGCCCGCCCATTCAGCCCTACACGAAAGCTTGTCGCGCGGGAAAGAAAGCTTGAGGCCATTTTTTTGCCACCGCGACGCGAGATGAACTCGTTAGTCTGGGGCCCGTTAGATGGGAGGCATGGTCATCGGCCGCGCGCGGCTTACTTTCTAATGCCGAGCGCGGCGCAGCGAGACGAAACGAGACGAGGGGTGGTTTAGGCTTGCTTACTACGCAAAAGACTGCATGCTCAGCGTCTCGCAGTGGCGCCGCCACTAAGTGTTTAAGTGTGTAAGACGGGTACTTGAGTAGGACTATGTATGTCGAGGTAACTTGCCGGCCCTGGAATGTTGAACGATGCGGTTGGTTACAATGTTTGTCTGGCTTTCTTTGTTTAATTGTCGAACAGTATATAACTGTCTCGGTCCCAGACATCGTCTCAACTTTTCTAAACCCTCAAGTCAGTATTTAAGCAGCGCATTACCAACTTTGTCTTCTTCATCAAACAATTTCAGAGGTCAAGCCCATCAATCACACCCATGCACAATGCACGCAGCCCTCGTCAACACCTGGGGCTCACCCCCGACCTACACAACCGTCCCGGACCTCCCAGAACCATCCCCAACACAAATCCGCCTCCGCGTCCTCGCAACAGGCGTTCACCGCCTCGTTCTCTCCCGCGCCTCGGGCAAACACTACACCGCTTCCACACTTCCTCACCTCCCCGGTGCAGACGGCGTAGGCGAGGACCCGACCACCGGTCAACGCTACTTCTTCGCCGCCCTCGCGACAGGCACCTTTGCGGAATTCGTCAACGTTGACCGAGCCGCTGTATCACCGCTCCCAGAGGGCGCGGACGCTGCTGTCGTCGCTGCTTACATGAATCCCGTCATGAGTAGCTGGATGGCGCTGTCTGCGCGCGCGGCACCGCAGCAGAAAGGCTTCTCTGTCGCGATCTTGGGTGTGACAAGTGCTAGCGGGCGCGTGGCTGTTGATGTTGCTCGTGCCAAGGGTGCCGGTCGGATTGTCGGTATCGCGAGGAATGCTACTGCCATGGAGGAGATCCCGATCGACGAGCGCATCATTCTCAATGGTGAGGAGACGGACTGGTCAAAGCTGGGCGAAGTGGATGTTGTACTGGATTACGTCTATGGAAGCCCTGTGGTGGAACTGCTCAAGGCCTTGCCCAAGTCGGAGAGGGAGGTGCAGTATGTACACATTGGCTCCGTGTCTGGTGATGGGGATATTACTCTCCCTGGAGCCATCTTGCGAGGGAAGAGGGTCGCGCTCCGTGGTGCTGGACCGGGCAGCTGGCTCATGAGGGAGTATGCGAGCGAGCTTGGTGGAATGGTTGGTGTGACCGCTGCTTTGAAGGGCAAGGAAGTCAGGGTGATTGCAATGGAGGATGTTGAGAAGGGATGGAGCGAGGCGGGACTAGGCAAGACACGTGTTGTTTTCGTGAGCGATGATCTTGTGAAGTCGTCTTGATCCTTGATGGACTATGAGCACCGAGATGGAGTTTAAGATACCTTATTTAGATTGTCAAAGTTGAGATCTCTATGTCAGCCAGAATATTCAACACGCGTCACAGATTTGGGCAATTCTCATCGCATTCGGTGCAGCTTAGATTCACTATCTACACAAGTACCTTCTCCGTCAGCTACACAAAGCCAAGCCCAATCATGCTGCGTCTTTCGTCAGAACACGAGCACGTAACACCGTGGAAGGGGACAACTCACAAGTAAACCACGGCGAACCTACAGCCGCCGCAACAGCCTGCGCCACAAGCTTCTGGATCTGCACGCCAGGGTGGTAGTCGTTGAACCACAGGCAACTAACGCCATCAGCATTGTAGCACGTGGCGTCGGGAGCGCCGTAGGCGGTCGGGTTATTAATGGCCTTGTCGAACGCGGGAGTGGTATCGACGACCCAGGATGTGATGCCCGAGTTCTTGGCCTTGAAGGCGGCGAGGTTGCTGGTGATAAGGTCGTTGTACTGCTTGATGGCAGCGGCGAGCTGGGCGTTGGAGTCGGCGCCGTTGGCGAGCATAAGGGGAGTCTTTTGGGTTGCTGTGCAGATGAGGTTGTTAGTTTGATATGTGGTCTCTGCGAGTGGTGCTTCGTATGACCAGCCATGTCGGACTTTCTGATCATCCTTCCACATGGAGGGGACAGGAAAACGGGGAAAAACTCACGCGGAACACCAAGCAACACAAACTTCCTAACCCCAGCATCATACAAGATCTGCAACTGATCAAAATACCTTCCCAAAACCTGAACCAACAATGTCTCCCGATTCGAAAGCCAAAACGCGTTTCCCACATCGTTGACGCCCATCCACACGCCCACCAAGGTATTATCCGCCGTCCAAGGCGCCCAGCTCGGCTTGGACGCCAGACTGCGCGAGAACTCAGCCACCTGGTCGATGAAGCTGAGCACTGTGGTGGCGTAGGGCGCGATGAGGCTCGCGTCCGTGGTGGCGCCGCCGTAGGCTAGATTGTAGGAGTAGGTCAGGGAAGCGTTGAACTGGGTGACCATGAAGCCGACCCAGTCGAGGCCGCCTGAGGCGGTCCAGCCGGGCAGGTCTGGGTTGCCGAGGGGGTTTTGGGGGTTGGGTTTTGTGGAGTTGATGTTGAAGCCAGTCTGGGAGTAGGAGTCTCCGCTGTTTGTCTTGGTGAGCTTCGTTTCTCTTGCTGTGGAGTATGTATGCGGTGTGACTTACAAGGTGATGAAGTACTTTGGCCCCGAAGGAGACGGGACGGAGGTGGCCGTTGACGTCGGGGCGCGGGAGGAAGAGGTGGTGCGGACGGAGGTGGTGGTTGTCACGGCGCGGGTGGTCGAGGCCGGGACGCTGGTGGCTTTGGTAGAGGAAACGGCCGGCGCCGTCCCGGGAACACATTGGTCTACAGCCAGTCAACCCTAGGTGTCCAACATTCTCTCCTCTCCCAACGCGGGATTTACTCACAATACCAAGCATTCTGGGAGGAGCAATACGCTCCCGAAGCGCAGCTAGTCGAGCCTGTCCATCCTGTGCCGCCACACTGTCCCCAGACGGGAGCTTGCGCGTTGGCGGTGAGGGCCAAGCCGGCGGCGACGAGGACGGATGCCGTGATGCGAGCCATTGTCGTTGTGGATTGTGATTCCAGAGGGAACAGACCAACCTAGCAATTTCAAAGACCCAAGGGATGGACAACAAGGCAGGTCGTCTTTATATAGACGCGAAATTCACTTTCTTCTCTCTTGGCTGCTACATCACCCCATCCCGCTTTCAATATCTCTAGTGGGAACCTCCATCCGTGAACCCAATCCTAACCGGGAAGTTGATCGAGCGATGCTTCCGAAGCCACGAGCTCTCAAAGACTCGTCTGAACCCGAGGGGGTTCCCTACAGTCATTGGCGGGAAAAGGATCGACAGTATCTGGGGGACCCCTTCCCTCTGTCCCCGTTCGTGCGGAGATTCATCTCGTGCCTGGGAAGAAACGGCAAGCTCGCAGGACCCAGGTCCGCGGTTCGCTTTGGTAAACAACCAGACCATACGAGCAAACTGCCAAACATTGAAAGAAGGAGGGGGGGGGAAAGCTTGAGAAGCACACCTTGACAAGCGTGACAAGATAAAAGTGGATCATGGTGGGCCGGCAGGCCGGGTGGTAGCGTGGTTGTTGATGCGGGGACGCGGAGGGAGGGCATCCCCGACCCCAAAGAGGCAACGGGCGGGATCCACATTGGATGTCACGGCCGGATGAGCGGGATCTTCTAGGAAGTTGGGGTTTGGACGGTCGTCTTGTCAGGTGTCTAGCCCGAATGGTTATATTGCAATATGTGGGCTTGGAAAGCTTAAGAGTTTGGGGGATGAAATGTTTTGATTCTTGATTCACCTTAGTGGGCTATTCTCGGTCCGTTTCCAAACACTCAATACCCGATCATCTATGGATACTCTGTGAAGAACGCCTCGTGTAGAATAGGTAGACTTCATGTATGAGAAAAACTCATCACGACTTCAAGATGGGGGAACGCCAAGGTCAAGAACATAAGTCTTTCGAGTGACTCTAACTGACAGCAATGGATAGTCGTAGGGACAGTGGTATATCTCAAAAACCAAATAACCAAACCAAGCATGAAGCAAAAACAAACGACTTGACGTGGCAAGTCACCGACCGAAAATCCAGTAGATCCCAACCCCAAAGTTTTTTTCCCATCCAATGTCGAGAAAGCCTTCCTTCCCGCCCAATACACCAAATCATACAAACAAATACAAAAAGATATCATGGCTAAAACAGACTTGACGAAGGAACACAAGATTTTTCCCCAACCGCGTCATCAAATTCATCCATCCACCGACACCCAAGCTGAAATGCAAAAAAAAAAAAAATGCAAAAAGGCATACGTAAATGCAGCGCAGACATGATGGTACATAACATATGCTCAGAGGAGGTATCGTAAGAAGATTTTACAGCCCTTCTTGGTTCCCCTCTCACTCTCGGGCCTAGCCCGTAGAGTATAGTATCGGCATTTTATGCCTTATTCTTCTCCTTGATGTAGCCGTCGGCAACCTCAAGACACACTAGGAACGAAAAGTCAGTCAAAGCCCAGAGAAAAGCAAAGGGGAAGAGAAAAAACTCACACTTTGCAACACTCGCACTGCCCAGGATCTTCATCACAGAAACATCCCGCTCAATCACCTTCCAAAACCATCCCCTCACCTCCACAGCAACAAGCGAGTCCATACCCAGCTCGCCTACGCTGTGCTCCCCCTTGACGCTGCCCTCGCCCTGTCCGAGTACGACCTCGAGGTACCGCGCAAAGCCCTCGGTTAGTACGGCCGCAACTTCTTCGGCACCGCCCTCGACGGCCTTGATCTTCTCCTTGAGACTCTGCTTGCCCTGGCCCTCACCCTCGGCGCCCTCATCATCCTCTTCAAAGGTGAAGTGCGAGAAGCGCGGGTCAATCTGCCAGTGCAGCTTATCCTCGCGGTTGGCGTTGTACCGGCTGAGACCAGTCGTAATGTCGTAGATCTGGCCGTCGAGGGGGCGGCCCGCGACGATGGCCTCGAGGAACATGTGGTGGATGTCGCGCTCCGAGATGGGCGGGTAGCCATCCTTCTCTAGGAACGCGTAGATGTCAGTGCGCTCGCGATGGAGGAGACCGAGGCCGTAGATAACACCAATATTGAGGACCGAGCCAGCCAGGCCGCGGATGCGACGGTTGGCGGCGAGGCCGTTCATGTACATATTGGCTGCCGCGTAGTTGGATTGTCCGCCGTGGCCACCAGGCGCCGCGAACGACGAAGTCATGATGAAGAACTCCATGTCAGCCTCGCAGAAGATCTCATCAAGGTTGCTTGAGCCAACAGTCTTGGGACGCATAACCCTGTTCCAGGTCTCGACATCCATCTGCGCGAACACGCGGTCGTCGAGAACCATGGCGCCATTGATGACACCAGCAACAGGCGGCATCTCCTGCGCCAGCCTTTGCTTGAACGCCCGCACGCTCTCGATGCTGGTGACATCGAGCCTCTCGATGCGTACCTCGCACCCCTTGGCGCTAAGGTCATCGATCCACTGAGGATGCATATTGGGGTTGCGGCTGGCGAGGACGATGTGGCGCGCACCGTGCTCGAAGAAGAGGTTGCACAGACTCTGACCCATGTCGCGTGTCAAGCCGACGAGGACGTAGGTCTTGTAAGGGCGGAGGAGTTGCGTGCCAAAGAGGGGCTTGGCAATGTGCTGCACCTCGCGCTCGGCGCGCCAGTCGAGGATCTGGAAGGGCTTGCTGCTGCCGGTGTGGTCGAGGAGCTGAGGGACGGAGATGGATTCCAGAGCCGGGAAACCGATGCGGCTGTTCATGCTTCTGACATTGGTGATTGCCTTACCGATGGCTGTCTCCCAGAGATGCTCAATGTCCATAGAGTCACCGAGGGCGACAACGTGCTCGGAAGTGAGAAGAGAGAAGCGAGAGTGGTACTCGCAGTTCTCGGGAAGGCAGTCAAGGATGGTCTCGGAGAGTTCGCTGCCCTCGGGCAGGAAGTCAATGACGGAAGCACCATGAGCAGGGAAGAGTGCCTTGAGCTCGCGGTTGCTGGCGTAAGGGTGAATGTAGCGTTGATCAAAGGACTTGCGCTTTGATCCATTAGTGGTGCAAGCAATGACATTCGCACCCTTTGCCTCAAAGACCTCCTTCATGCACTCCAAGAGAGCGGTATCGGGCTCTAGGAGAAGCACAGTTTGCTCCATCATGTCTTCGGCGACGGACAAGGCCACGAGGTATCTCAGGACGAGACCCAGGAGGAGCTTGGGCTCAATGTTACTACTGCTGAGCTGGAAGACGCAAGAGTTGGGAACGGTGACGTAGGATGAGTTCGACTTGGTCATGGCAAGGCACAGCTCGCCTGATGTGACCTCTTTTCCGATGCAGACATGAGAGGCATACTTGAGTCCAAAATTGATGACCTCGACTGAACTGTACTTGACTTGAATGACGCTCTGGTCGGGAATTGCCACGGCATCATCAATGTCAGTCTCCTCGACAATGTTGGCAGTGTAGACGGCAGAGCCATCGCCAGATTGGGCAGAGACAACCTCGACGCATTGCTTCAGAGTGTTGACCTCGTCAGCCACAAGGCGGCGAGGGCAGTTGACACGGTCATTACCCTCCTTCCAAGGAAGAAGACGAGGGATGAGCCTCTTGCCATGCTCCATAAAGATCTCGTTCTCGTGAGACCACAGCAACTTGCCATCCTGAGCAGCGCTGCGCAGCGTCTTCATGCTGAGACGGAGGAAGGTCTCGGCGACAAGATCGCTAGAATCACGGCGAGAGTCGAGATCGAGCATCTGGAGCTTCAGGCTGGGGATCTCAGCAAGCATGGAGCGACAGAAGCCAAAAGTCGCCGCGTGCTCAGGGTTGCCGGCGCGCGAGTTCATGGTGACCCAAAGAACAACCTTTTCAGGCGCCATCAGGGCACGGAAGAGATCAAGACGCTCTGGCGTCATGGAGCTCATCATGGGCTCATCCAAATCGGCAAGGAAGATGACGGAACTGATCTCATTGAAAATGGCAGGCTGAAGAGAGTCCAAGTCGGCGATGATGTCGATGCTGCTGCACAACGGGTCCAGCTTCTGGTGCACCTCGGCAGACAGGTCGGCCGTGTTCTCTTGGGCACCAATGATCAGGGTGTGGCCCATAACCTTGGGCACGGAGCTGTTGAGGGGGTTGAGAGCAGCCTGCTTGATGTCCGACTCGGCCTGTCTGACGATGAGGGAGAAGTCAGGAGCGAAGAATTGCTCGGCGTTCTTAGAGACACGCGCAAAGCCGCACTCGTCGAGAAGGTCAGGCCACTCGGGAGGAGTAAGCGGCAGATCAGCCTGCCTCCTCACGCCAAAGGCGCGACGAAGTCTATCACGAAGAGGGCTCATCGACTCATGGATGAGGATGAGGAAACCACCAGGCTTCATGAGGCTCTGGACCTGCTTGAGCTTGGAACGCTGCTCAGCACCCTTGACAATCGAGGTTGTCAGAACGACCATGTCAAACGGCTGGAGAGATGAGTTGTCTTCGTTGTCAAGGATTTTGGTGTGCTCGGTGTCAATCTTCTTCTTGATCGCGTCGGATGAGAATCTTGCCATCAGGTCCGGCTCAGTCTCGTTGCCCAACGTGTAGGAAACGAATGAGCCCTTGAAGCCATCAATGACGTGCTTTGTGAGCGCGGTCTCGGGGTCAGTCAAACCAAGCACTCGCATGCGAGGGTATCGGTGAGCGAGCTGGGAGACGACACGGCTGACATGGGAGCGGAAGCGATGTAGCTGCTTGGCTTCCTGGATGATGGTTGAGAGCATCGCAGGGAGCACATCGGGAATGTTCTCACCGAGCAGCCGGATGAAGCTGAGGGCGTGCTGGAAGGGAGACTGCAGGATGTAGGCGTCTAGTGTCTCGGCAGTGTCCTGTTGCCAAGGGCTGAGAGTAGCCTCGGACGGTCTAGCCTTGGGAGGCGACATGGGAGTGGCCGGCGGGGTGAAGAAGTTGGGCGACGACGAGAGTTCCTTGAGCGAGTCGTCGTGGATGTAGAAGCGCGCGACTCTCTCGCAGGCCTCGAGCAGGATGCGCTCGGTAGCAACGTCCTCTTGGCTAA